GCAGAGGCAATCAAGGATTAAAGATGATGGGAAAGATCAGAGAGGGGTCAAGTTCTCTGAATTTTGATTGGTTTCCCTTTTCTTTGCTTAAAGAAATCTTGTATTTTTGCCTTGAAAATCAGGGACAAGTTCTGGATTTTCCATTCATGGTCTCAAAGGAAGAGGTAGGGACTGGAGGAGGGGAGCAGATTCGATTTTAGGATGTTCTTTTGAAAAAACCCTTTAAATCCATCTTAAAACTAGAAAGGGGAAAAGTTCTTAAGTCACCAGATGAAATCAGTTCCCGGTTTAGGGATTTGATACTGGTGCTACATAGCAACACGGTGGGGATCGTGACGGAGCGGGTGGCGAAGGGCGACTGTCCTTAGCATTGCTCTAGCCGAGCCAAAATTTTAGACTACTGTTTGGTTTCAACCCTTTAGCTCCGCCAATGAGTGCCACATCATCAGTTAATGTAACGTCATATCCTACGCGACAATTTATTTTGTTAGAGTTATGAGTTGAATAACCAAAATGTTGATTTCGATAAAGTTGGATGACTACCCAATAAATTCACCCATTAATGAACCACGAACATTTCTGGAAAAATCTAATTTATATAATGGTATAAGAATCCGACCGAAAATATATATAATGGGATAAGAAAGTTTTTATTCTAAAATGAGGGAAAAAAATCAAAATAAAAATAAAATCAATTCTAATATTTGGTTGTCGTAGAGGGTTGAACTCTTATCATCAATCCTAATAATAAGATTTTTAATATTATAAAATTATAAATTCTTTAAAATCTTTGTAGCAAATTGTCATCTTTACAGAAATTGAAAAAGATGCAATTTTCCTAATTAACATGCATGTTGAAAATAGCATTTTCACATATGGTCGCAGTAGTGGCACGTTTCTTTAAAGTGAGAAACAAGTAAAATGCACTTTGGTTCGTAGATGTGGTCGCAATGGTGATTATGCTTTTTCAAAATGAGAAGCAGATAGAACACACTTTGATCTGTAAGTCAAGTTTCAGACTCGATTTTCTTCGAATGGAGACTAACTTAATACTGTATTTCCTCCTGTTAAAAAAAAAAAAACATGCATGTTGAAAATAACCTTGTTTCAACTAATAAGAACTTAGTGTTTCTTTAAAAAATTACATCTCTTTTAATTTTAGTGTAGATGATAATTTGATCAAAACTTTAAACATTCTAAAAAATTTATGATTCTATGATAATAAAAATCTTATTATTAAGATTGATAATAAGAATTTAAATTTCTATAACAACTACATAATACTAATAATTTAGTTGATAGAAAAATCATCTTTTGAAGATGAAGTTTATATTTACTTACTTTTCCGTCAATATCAGCAATTAAATCTTCAACAATTATTTTTTTTTAAATGGAGTGGTAAGGAAGCTCCTCAATTTCTTGAACTACAGAAATCAACTCAAAGTAGGCCTCAGATGGCAATCGGTCATGTGCCGCAAATAAACGGTAAGTCTTTGTTTTTCTTATTCTCACATCCAGTGGGCTTTTTAATTTTTTAATCAGGGTTACATGTGTGCGGGGTTGTAGGGAATGGAAAGAATTTGAACATAATTGAGGTAAGAGGTCTTACATGAGAAATAATCACTTACCCAGCTACATGAGAAAGAATTACTTACCCAGCTAGGATTTCTCCTCACATTTAACCAGTATAAAAGTGAATTTAACTCAAATTTTGAGTCTTTAATTTTATTAAAAAAAGATTATAAAAGTTAAAAAAATACTTTTTGTAGCCTATACTTTAAAATTATAATATTACGAGCTTCATCTTTTTTTGACCATTTGTATCATCGTGACGTACAAAGATCATTATCAATTGAAAGAAGTATCGATATTAGTGAATTAATTTTACTTTTTTTTAGGAAGAATTCATTTTATTTTAATGAACGTACAAAGATCATTATCAATTGAAAGAAGTATCGATATTAGTGAATTAATTTTACTTTTTTTAAGGAAGAATTCATTTTATTTTAATGAAAGTAATAGATATTTTAAATACTATAATAATAATA